CCTCCGCGATGGGGTCCTCCACCTCCAGCGTCTCCCCCGGGACGAGGGAGATTGTGCAGTCGCTCTTTTCGATGCCTTCCGAGCGAACCAAGACGGTTAATGGGGCGTGGAAACCTCGTACAGCGGGGTAGTTTGATTTGCCTAATATGTCATACTTATGAGGAACATAGTTTTTTTTTCTTTCTCATATAAAGCATACACTTATTAATTCCTATATCCAAGGAAACGATGATCCATTTACCGTATTCCTTTTTCTAACTGACGTGTGAGGTTCCTTTATGTTTATGTGTTTCGGCTTCTTCTTTGTGGGGAGAATGGGTACTATTTATGTTATAAGAATATCTTGGAACGGTTTTGAACTGGTTAGTGATGAATTTTAAATAAAAATTTACATTTTTTCATCGAGACATATATGTATGAATTTAATTTCTGGTATTCTTTCTGGGTAAAGTGTAGTAACCTGTTATAAAAGTTATAGGGTTTAATATACTGATGTATATACAATACCTTATTTACTTTTGGGGAGGTTCTTCAAGGAAAATTAGCTTGAACGTTTTATGTTTCTACCTCAGCTTTTATGAGGTATTCAAATGCAGCTATATTATTTCGACTTATTTTTAATAGTTCATTTGATTTTCTAACTCCAATCCACATCTGGTCTCATGTTTTCTATATTTTTCGGTGTGAAATGGATCGGAGCGAAAGTCAATAGCGAAGCCGAAGTGCACATTTAACAACAACAACAACAAGAAACTGACCTTTTTTGTCATAAAAATTACAAAATACCGAGTTTCTTATTGGCAACCGTGCGCATTTGGAAACGAAGTGAAACGGAATACGCAAACCGCAATAAAGCAACCACCCACTGGTTTGGGGCTATTGGAAAGTATATTTTATTTTTAGTTCGTTTCGTAGAGTTTTTGAATGGGAAATCAGCTGGCTGCCACTCCCTCTGTTCGTGTTACTGATGTTTCATCTTCCCTGCATCTGATTGCCCCGCTTGGCGAGGAGAACCGAAATTTTTTCTCCACCTTTCACTGTCTCGATCAAAGTGAAGGCGACTCCCTATCCCTTAAGCTTCTAGTGCGCTCCAGTCCATCCGATTGGCCTCGCATCCAGACGAATTCCCATCGCGATGAGAGCACCAGCCATGCCGACTTCAACGGGGCCTATTATTATTTAGAGGGAAACACCGCGGGGGGTTGGACAGGTTCGCCGCTACCGGCGGTGGATAACTTTTTCCCGAGTGGAAACCTCAAGATCGGGCTGAGCAATTACACGCAGTTTCTTCTCCGGCGTCCCGGGCGGGGAGGGGGGAAGGACGTCGGCAAGGAGGGCGATCCCAACGCCCCGGGGGATCATTTGAACGCCCTTTGCGCGCGGGCCTCGCGAAGTACGGCGGGCAACCCATCCGGGGCGCTGCGGCGCCGCCTTACTTCCTCGGCGATCGCCTCCGAGGACGCGTTTTCGCCCTTCACGACGGCCCGGGTTCGCGATGTTGTTGTGAAGGTTTTTGTGCGTAATTCGAACGACGACGCCCAGTCGCTGGCGCTGAAAGCGATCGCCAGGCTTCTGCACGGCATGGCGGCGCACGTCAAGGCCACCGACAACGACGTTCGCACCCCCAATAGCCCCATAAATATTCTTTTTTATGATGCCATTCGATGCGAGGAGAGTGATTTGTTTTGCCTGCTCCAACGACCCTATGTGGATTATTCGTTGGTAGAGCGCCTCGCGACGCGGCCTTTTTATACGTTGGAGGACCGCCTTTTTGCGTGTTTTCAGCTTCTTCAGGGCCTTGTTCAGCTCCACGAGCGGTATGGCATGGTCCATGGGGATCTTAAGCCAAGCAACGTCCTCGTCCAGGGCGGCAGTGGGTGGCTTTATTTGTCCGATATCGCACTTTTTAAGCCTTCTCGCGTACCAGCTTACAATCCAGCCGTTTTTGACTACTACTACGACACCGACGACACCCGATGTTGTTGTTTAGCACCCGAGAAGTTCTATGACAACAAACTAAAGTCGACTGCCCCGCTCGCCGCGGCGGAATCGAAAAGCCCGAGGGTTCACTTGGATCCTGTGAACCCCAGCTTCTCGCCAACCCACCAATCGCACTCATCCTTCTCGTCGCTTGGGAATGATGCGGAGCTGGAGCATCTGAATCTCCATGGCCATACCTCGGCGATGGACGTATTTTCTGCGGGCTGCGTAATGGTTTACCTTATCACGGACAATCCCGCATTTAGCCTCTCTGAGCTGCTCCAGCTTCGCGAACGAGAGACGGATGAGGCTCGAAGGGCCTTTATTGCGCGGATTCTTGTAGATCGCGGGGTTGATGGACCGCTTTTGGAGATGCTCCTGCGCATGTTGGGTGCGTTTCCTGATGAACGGCCAAGCGCGCGTCAGGTTTTGGAATCTTTTACGCCTTCTGTCTTTCCAAGGAGTTATACGGTGTTGTATAAAAAAGTCCTTCCCGCCCTGCTTGAGCGGCCGCCGGATCACCAGGTGCAGATGCTATTTGGACAGCTCAAACATATTTTGCGCGAATGTGCGGCCGAGACCCCCAGCAATGGAGGTTATTTGGGTGACTCCAAGGCGGACTTTCAAAGGCGAGCGATTTATCACTCCGAGGCGCCGCGTGCGGTGCATATTCTTCTGCCCCTTCTTCTCCACGCCACCCGTCGGGCAAGCACAGATGAGACGACTTTTCGCGGCGTTGTATGCCTCCGTCAGGTCGCCTTACCACAATGCAAGCTCTCCTCCCAGCTCGACTTGGTGCTCCCTCATCTTTTGTATATCGTGAACAGCCGGGCGGAGTTTGGAGTTAATACCCGCATTATAGCCCTGCGCGCGGTTTGCGAGATTGTTGGGCGGGTCGTCGCCCAGCTTTCCAGCAGCGCCTCCGCACCTGACGGCGGAAAAGACGAGCCCAATCTTCACAATGACCTTTCCAGCTTTAACCTCTCCGGGCAAAGGGGTTTGGCAAGGCCACCGTTGAGTCTGAGCACCCGAATTTACCAAACGACGCTTTTGGACGATATTATCCTTCCGTGCATTTGCGAGCTGCTGGGGAGTTCCTCTCGGGAAGAAGTTGGGTTTTTGACGGAGCTCGCAACGCGACTTCCACAGCTGCTTCTCGAGGCTCGCTACTGCCTGGAGCAGCGCCAGACGATTTTCGGAACGTACAAAATTGCAAATCGCCAGGGAACTTTTGGTCAGCAGTTGGATGTTTTGTGCAATAACGGCTGGTATATGTTTCAGGCGCTTTTCCGTCTATCCTTGGTTCCCGTTTCTGTGGCCGTCATGCATCAAGTCCCCAAAGTCGCCGCCTTCTTGGGCGACGCCCGCACGCAGGAGGAGATGATCCCATTTCTCACCACCGCCATTTCTTCTCCAGTGCAGATCCGGCGCGAGGTCTTCCCGATCACGGTCCTCCTTCATTCGGTTCTTCAATCCCCGCAAATTAAAACCCTCCACTTTTTCGTCGAGGAAGGCCTTCGTCAGCGCGATGCGGTGTGTTTGAAGCGCACGCTCGATGCCTTGGCGGTGGTGGTGCACACTCATAAGTTCACCTCGTGGGATTCGATGACTTTAGTGCATTTAGCGCTTCCGCTTGTGGTGAGCCCATTTCACGCGGTAAACATCGCTGCTCGGAAGGTAGTCGAGGTGGCCGCCCGCACCTACCGGGCAAGCGAAGTGTTGGCGTATCTTGAGTCGCCAATGCGTCCTCTTCTAACGCAAGCGCTCCCGCTAACCCACCTTAGTAGCTTTCCTGAGTCGGTTATTCTACGGGAATTCTCAACGATGGGCCTGACGCCCTCTACTTCTGGGGATGGTCATTCCTATCAGCGGATGGCAGGGTCTGCTGAGGAAACGTATGGTTGGCATTTCCCTCTGCGGGAGTTTTGCTATCCCACCAAAGTTCTTCCACGCCGCAGCACCACAGCTTTATTGAAGGAAGCTAAGGATTCCATTAAACCTGAGGACGGTACGTGTTGTGATGCATTGTTTGATATTACCCTGGATCCGAAAGCTGTGGAGCCCCCTATGCGTGTGGAAAAGAACAGCTCACACGAGGATGAACGAGCAGACGACGAGGCACCAGGTCGTAGTTTTCGTTATCAGCCATCGTCGCGTGAACACCAACGCATGCGGCTTCGACGATCCATTCTCTCTGGTAACTCTTTCGACATATCTTCGAATTTATCCCTGATGTCGCCTTTAGGGGTTTCGCCTTCTGCGTTCTCCCATTCAAAGTTGATTACCTCACACAAAAGCGACGCCAGTGGCTATGATTCTTCTTCAAGGGAAGGCGACTTACGATTGGACTCATCTCTAAATGTCTCGCAATCGCTGTCTTTTCCTTCCCTCCCCTCCACAGCTGCGTGGATACCTCAGTCTTTGATGACTTCTATGCGTAAAGAGCTCCGTCCAGTAGCCGTCCCCCTTGATACCAAGTGGAGGCATATAGGTGCTATCCACTCAATGGAAACCTTACCATGCGGCCGATTGCTCACGGCAGGAGCTCGTGGGGAGGTGATATTATGGCAGTTCAAGACCAGTCCAAAGTCTTTTTCCTCATTTTTGTTGTCTCCCATTTCTTTAAGTGCAGTAGACGCGACGTTAAACTTGATTACACGCGTCGAGCCCTTTGATCGTTCCACGTTGGAGGACTATCAGACCTCGTGCAGGGTGAGCACGGGAAGCTATGATAAACAGACAGGATCTTTACTAGTTGCGCTTGGGGGAACGAGTGGTTTTGTGCATTTGCTGGATGCCAGCCGCGGTGTGGTTTTTCAGCGGTGGAATGCAGGGGAAAGCGGACAAAACCATGCGGCCTCTTTTGCAGGATGCGAGGAAAAAAATAACGAGTCGGATGCGGTGATGGCGATGGCGATGCTTGAGGAGCACATTTTGCTAGTCTCGACCGCCTCTGGAAGCCTTACGGCGTTTGACTTGCGAATCTCTCCCTCTCAAAGTGCCGTTTGGCGTACAACTCTCGACCCTTCTGATGAGTCCTGCAGCGCCTTATGCCCTTTATACCATGTGAATAAGGCCTTTTGTTTTGTAGCGGCCACACGTGGTGGAATTTCGCGGTTGTACGACCTCCGATTCTCCGGGCTTTGCGTCTGCCGCGACGACGTGGCTGCCAGGCTGCAGGAGCTGACTGACGTTTCTGGCGACCTCCTCGACCCGGTTGGTCGGACCCACCCGTCCAACCGACGGCCAAACCCCGACGGCGTCTTCAACGCGGGCTTCCCGGGCCCGCACGCGACCGGGAAGGGCCGTCCGCGT